GCACTCAAATTGCGTTTATTTATACTCTATAGAGATGTCCTTGGGACAGTCACAAAAATAGCACACTAAAATGACACAGTAACCAATCACAGTCAAGGATTTTCCTGGTGGGAAATGTGATCTCAAGGTCAACCGATCGGTCCATGAAATAAACCCAAAATAAAGATATTTATCCAGCGAGTTTTTGGGATCTAACATCCCCAACAGTCATAAATACTGATAGATCAGTATGAAGAGTGAAAGAATGGTAACCATCACAATTAAATTAATTAGCCTTCTTATTGTACAAATATTATACAAGTCGGTTACTATGTTTATGTATTTTGTTTATTGTAAGCTTACCGTTAACCCATAAATTACTATCATACAATTTAAGATTATTAATATTTGACTGGTTCCCTTTTCACGGACACTGGCTTAGTTATCTATAACTGTTACTTTTTCATATTGTGGTGTGGTGCATTTCCATATGTTCGTGCGTAAACAATGTCTGTTTGAAATATAAGACTGGTTATAAACTTTGGGAATCAAGGTAGGGCATAGAAGAAGCTTGGAAATAACGGACTGATAGGAATCTAGCTACCAGAAGTCAGCATTGCTGATCTACCTGCAATGGGCGATCACAGAGGCATGTAGAATAAATAGACCAAATTAGAATCGGGATTTCGATTCATGACTGGAAATGTAATGTTGATCAGCAGTCTTCAGGATAGGAAAAATATCTTATGTTGATCATTTAGGTCCTACACACGTGAGATGATTTTGAAATGACACTGAAAAGAAGAACCATGTTCTATCTCCATGATGACTGGACATAATCTTGTTTAAATTATTATATCAAAATCAACTTAGAAATTATTTTGGTGGGATTTGCAGATAAATGGTTAGAAGATTTTGTCTTATGATTCAAAGACAATCAGTGGACTGTATATCTAGTCAGCGACTTTCGTTAGCCTATGAACTCATAACAAAAATGGAAATCATGTAACTATCAAATGTCTAACTTATTCTGGTGAGTAAGGGTGGTAACAAGCATGAATTAATAATAGTGTCTAGCTACACAGAGGTCTTACGAATTCTTCGTAAGAACTATGCAAATATGCCGTTTCCTATGATTGGAATGCGTACGTACCAGTCCGAACTATATAGGTGGAGCCAAGGTTAATGGAACTCTTTAATTTATGCAAAGACAACTTGATACTTTCACCCGAGATTCCTCGTCTTTGAAACGTACGCATGGCCACCCGTTAGAATTTACATCGTCGCAGCACCCTCTCTTTTCAAAAAGAGACAATCGATCAAGTACAGAGACAAGCAATGAAATAGGTGGCGGGGTTCATGTACAAACATTACGAAGATAGATTATTCTTTCTGAACCACAGGATAATCAAAAGTGATCTGAAAATGCGTACAATAGATTAGGCACACAAAATCATCTAAATATTAACACCTTGTAGAAGCGTCACTACCAAGCCCATCGAGGTAATCCTTGAAAACTTGCACGCCAAAGGGCGAATACCAGGTCCATTCACACTTTTTCTCATTAGGAATGTCGCCACCTGGAACGCTCTCCCAGTTGTGGAAACCACTGACGCTTCAGTTGATAGACATGATAAACACTTAATCACGTATGGATTATCATCTCTCTCTTGTACCAGCTGTACCTGATGAGTGTTTCCAAACTTACTTACTTACGCCTGTTACCCACAATGGAACATAGGCAACCCACCAGTTTCCTCCAACAAACTCTGACCTGCACTTCCCTTTCTAGTTCGTTCCAGTTTTTGTTCATTTTTCCAATATCTTTCTCTATTTCTCGGCTTGATGCGCTGCTTGCCCTTCCTCTTTTCCTTTGAGCTTCAGGTTTTCATGTGAGGGCTTATCTTGTGACGCAGTCGGGTACTTTCCTCAGTGTGCCTTATCCACTTCCACCGCTTCTTCCTGATTTCCTCCTCCACTTGAATCTGGTTCGTTCTCTCCTAAAGTAGGTTGTTGGTGAGAGTGTTTGGCCAATGAATCCGAAGTATTTTGCGTAGACATCTGTTCATAAATACTTGTATCTTCTGAATGATGGCTTTCGTAGTTCTCCAAGTTTCCGCTACGTACAGTAGAACTGTCTTGACATTTGTATTAAAAATCCTGATTTTATTGTTGATTGATATTTGTTTGGAGTTCCAGGTGTTGTTCTCTGGTACAAATGCAGCCATTGCTTGACCGATCCACGCCATCACATCTGCGTCCGATCCACCTCGGTTGTCGATGATCCTGCCCAGATATGTAAAGTTGTTAACGTCCTCCAAGGCATCTCCATCAAGAGTGATTCGGTTGGTGCATGTTGTGCTGTTTCGTAGAATCATGCTTTTCCCTTTACGTATATTGAGACCTACTGATGCAGAGGCAGCTCCTACAGTGGTCATTTTCTCTTGCATTTGTTGTTGCGTGTGCGATAAAATAGCCAGGTCATCTGCGAATTCCAGATCGTCCAGCTATGTCCTAGCTGTCCGATTAATACCATGCTTCCATCCAGATTTTGACCTCTTCATAATCCAGTCGATCACCAGAAGAAAGAGAAACGGTGAGAGTAAGCAACCTTGCCTCACACCGGTCTTCACCTCGAATTTGTCTGTTAGCTGACCTCCGTGCACGATTTTGCAGTTGAATCCATCATAGTTCTCACACTTGCTGAGATCACCTTTCTTTGGTATTTTGATCAGGTATCCTTCTTTCCAATCTGATGGTACTTGTTCCTCATCCCAAATCTTCTTGAAGAGGATGTGAAATATTTTCGCAGTTGCTTCTACATCTGCTTTCATTGCCTCTGCTGGAATGTTGTCTGGTCCTGCTGCTTTGCCGTTCTTGATTTGTCTGATGGCCATACCGATCTCCTCAATCGTAGGTGCGCCAATATTAATTGTGAGGTCCGTGGATGCTGCTTCGATGTTGGGTGTTTTTAGTGGAGCTGGTCGATTCGATAGTTCCTGAAAGTGCTCTACCCAAATATTTCGCTGTTCTTCGATGTTGCTGATTACTTTGCCTTCCTTGCTTTTCACTGGTCGTTCTGGTTTACGAGCTTCTTTGTTGTTTCGTACTGTAGTGAACGAGAACACAAGTGGGGCAGCCGGATTGTATTTCACGAAAGTTACTGAGTTACTCAGTAAAATCGGAAAACCATATCGTAAATCGTTAATTTGCAAAATATCAGTTCATCATATCGAACTGGATTGTTCCTGTTGCAAAACATCATTCTATTGCCACTATTCATGCGTTTCATACAAATTCCATTGTTTTCTAACTCTTCCTTTCTTGATCTTCCTCCATCTTCTGCTGCCAGATATTGCGTTGACACTCACGTCATATACAACTTATAAGTAGCTCACACCATAGTACAATGGTCTCAAGTTTCCGTCTCTTGCAGCCTTTTCCGCCGTCATTGCTAGATCTCACACATATTTTCGTTTGTCAGCTCTGATGCTCTTCTTCACTTCCCTGTTTGCTTCTGTATACTCGGCTTGCGCCTTAACTTTCTCTGCTCTTGTTCGGCTGACATTCACTGCTGCCTTCTTGTTCCTCCTTTCTTCAATTTTTGCAAGAGCATCAACAGAGATCCATTCCCTGTGATGGTACTTCTTGTGACCAAGAAATTTGTGACATGTCGAAGTGATTGCCTCATTGATCCCTTTCTAATTGTTCTACAACGTTGCTTCCTCTCCATTGAGTAAATCGTGCATGGCCTGGAACCTATTGGTGCGGGCAATCTTGAATTCGTTGAGCTTTACAGTATCCCGAAGAAAGGCTGTATTAAACTTTTGAGATGTTGTCTGTCCCGTTGTACAGTGTTTCTTGAGTTTCAGTTTCATTTTGGCGACCAGCAGGTGGTAATCCCAGGCTCCTATCTTAGTTCTCACATCTTACATAGTCCTTCTGAACGTTTTGTTGATACAGATATGGTCAATTTGGTTTTGAGCAATGTGGTCCGATGAAATCCATGTGGCTTTGTGTATGCGTTTGTGCGGGAATATTGTGCCACCAATGACCAGTTTGTAGAAGGCGCATAGGTTTGTAAATCTCTCACCGTTTTCGCTTCTTTCTCACAGTCCATGTCGTCCCATGATGTCTTCATATCCAGTGTTGTCCATTCCAATCTTGGCGTTCAGGTCTCCCATAAGAATCGTCAAATCCTTTGGTGAACATTTATCAACGATTGACTGCAGCCTTTCGTAGAATTGATCTTTAACGTCGTCATTGTAGTCATTGGTAGCATTTTCCTCTTCATGATCGGAATATAAAAGAAGTTCTGCTGAAACTAGTCTCAGTTGTCCTACCTGTGTCCAGTGTGTTTCACAGCCTCCTGACTTCCGAGGGAACTCGGCTTTCATCACGCGACACCGTAATTGTTCTTCCACCTCCCAGGGCAGAGTAAAAATGGTTTGGATCATTTTTTCTGGTTCGCGTTCTTTTGGCAAGTTAGTTTAAAGTTGGGATGGGGGTGCCAGCCCCATGCTCAACTCTCCTCCTTTATACGGGCTTGAGACCGGCAGTAGCCCCTAAGGTTCTACAGGCGGAGTTCCAAACTTGCTAGTTATTGTAATTGATATATTCTGTTTCTCCGATTAACTTCGTTTCCCTTTTTTCTTCTTAACACATTTATCGTCTCAAAAAATCTTCACTACCAACAAATTAACTTTTTTATTTAATTATTTAGTTACTAAATCTCACTTTCATTAGAATTTTCACCCTGTTATTCTCTTTATTGCAGCTAACTAAGTTCGGACCTGGTCATATGATAACTGTTGGTATCCGGGAGCCCGACGAATTAGCAAAAAACGCACCGATTAAAATCAGAGGACATACTAACAATAAATAACTGCCAATTGGCTGGGATTAATGCACTTGAGGAGCTTGACCTTAACAAATACCTGAAATCGTACCTTAAGAGCAATAATCAAGCGCAAATAAATTCTTGAGTCGTATATTGGATATTGGACATAGAGTGTCTGAAGGTTGTCGTTACTTGGATACGTGCGCGCATGTGTTTCTGTGTATCGTAATCAAAATGGTAAGTTCGTTGCTTCTTGAGCATCACTTTTAGTTCTGGAATTCACTAAAAATATTATGCTCGAGTACTTGAGTATATTTTTTTCAGTTCATCACCACTAGATACAGATGGATCTATGCCTTAGTAAACTGTGTTGATCGACTCCACTTTGCTGTAAAGATACAATTCAATTCTTATCAACGGTGAAAAACTAATCTGCGATCTGATGGTTTTATATTTTGACTGCTTTTTGCAATGTACTGACTGAAGTTTCATCTTCCTGTTTAAACAAGAAACTGTGGTTTCAATACCAGCGATATTGCATCAGTATGTAGCACGTTTTGCTTAGGCTGGGGGACTAATGAGACCTTACCCTTAAATGTCACATAAGATGCGACAGGTGCATAAACTTCCACGTTTAAGGCTGCTAACTAGTCTACATTTCCACAGAATGCCCTAATTTTTCACTCCAATGGTGTACCTCAGGTGTAAAAAACTAGACGTTTTGCCATTGTTTCTTCAAGCTCACCTCTATTATACTATTCTTACGACCCATATTTTAAACAAAATTTTCAATGATAAAACAACAAGAATAGTTCCAAATCAAAATAAAGCAGGTCTAAATCACCTCCATTGAACCCTGTAATTGGTTGCTTCACATTCGTCCAAAGTTCCTTTGGTTCTTGAAAGGTGGTACTGACGCCTCTTTTCCCGAGGAACGGCGACGCGAATTTCTTCATATGAAAGTTACTAGGGCGATTTTCCCGAAACGTCCCTAAAATTCACGTTTATTTCCCTTGTGTTATTCACTTAGCTAGTACTTTCATTCTCTGGTCACTACCCGTATTTCCCGACTCGATTACAAAAACTATACTTAAAAAGTAAACGCTTGAAAACCAGATTTTTGAGAATGACTTTTACAGTTATAAGATCTATACTGAAAAATAATCAGGCGTAATACTGTTCAAATCACATTTGGTAATCGAATAGTATTTGGTCAAAACATTATGGAACATGTTAAGAGAGTCGTTCAGTGTTTTTGTCTTTGCTCTGTTGCATTTTTAATAAAGAACTCACTACTTTCATTAGTCTAAATGCTCAGTGATATTTGCCGGATATAATGCTTTAAACACATCTAAATCCAGGGTTCACAGAAAGCGCCTTCAATCTTAGTTGTCGTGTAATGATGGATTGGTTTCAATAACCGATTAATGTCACAAAATTAACTACAACTTATTTCCAACGATGGTTCATTCACTCAACATGGACATTTTAATCTCCCCTACAAAGTTTGAGTATGAACATTGGAAATGCATCTGTCCAGTATGATTTATGTACGGCCGAAGGAGATGCTGTCAAAAGTTGGCGAAATAATATTTAAACGTCAATAACTTACAAGCACTAAGTAGTTTTTCAAAGTCTAACCATCAATAGGATTAGTTAAAACTGAATGGTTTGAGCTTAAATTAACATTATTGATGTAGGAAACTAGTTTTTTTTTAATCCACCGTTTAATAAAACTGCCTCAGTGAAAATTTACCCAAAAGATATTGAAATTAGGCCTTGTGTGAAGTGATCAACACATTTAAGGTTACAGAATAATCCATTTGATCATTGTAGAGACCATGATAGATTAATATAAGTGTGATCAAAATGTATTACCAGAGTTATAAAGCGATGAAGATATATTTTATATCTAATGATCTTAGATTTTTGGCACTTGTGCCAGAAAATCCCTAAATTTCTAAGTCTATATACATCTCATGTTAACCATTGACTCAATGATTACTCAATTGGATACCATATAGATGCGCATATTTAAATAAACATTATTTATGTGCTTGGGCTTAACTTGTATGTGCACGTTTGTTATTAGAGAGATTTTAAAGGATTCATAATACCCTGGATTCGACAAAACTAATGGTAGTGTGGCCTAAAAACTAAAACGAACACATCCTAATACTCATCCGCTATTTACTGGATTTTGTTTAATGATTTTGATGTCATGAGATCCGAGCGTTTTGCTGTTAGTATTGAAATGATGTATTAATTAAAATCATTGAGTCTTGGACCGAAATATTTGTGACTCTTAGACCTTTTTCAGATGATATCACTCCATAGGAACTACTTTTATGCAAACGTATCTTTCAACACTCATAATTCATTAGTTGTTTATTTATGTTTACACAGAATGAAGTTGCAAGTCGCGCATGTTCACTTTCCTCAATCGAGGAATCTTTGGCCAAGCAGTTGTCTAAGGTTCATCTTGAACAAATAAACAAACAAAAGTTGCGTCAAAGAATCAGGAATGAAAGGTTAGCTACAATAGTTATCGTTTTACCTTGTCCGGTTTTTGACATCTATATATTTTAGCAATACACAATAATTATGTGTAATCTGTTAGAACAGTTAACCTTTGTGAAAATTACAGTGCTTGGGAGTAACTTCTAAAGGATTCAATATTTAACTGAGACCACAATTAGACAATGTTTCATAATGCCAATGATCAAAGAAATAGTACATATGCACATCTACCTTTAACTCTTGTAAAAGATTTCTCTTTATGTTTAACTATCGTTAACTGATCTTAATAAAAAACTCTTATTATTAATGAATATTAGTGACTTTATGCAACTGGGATATCGTGGGTAAAATAACTTGTCGTTTTCACTGTCCACAGTTATTTGAGAAAATAATGAAAAGATTTAGTGATGTATAATAAACAGTTGAATTAAGAAATATTAAGCACTAGAAACCAGGAAGGACTGAAAACTCGCTTTACTTTGGCCTTTAATCCGTCATCAGCGTTGATTTACGACCCCGCATAAGGATCGGTACAAGATCCTTACTTTTTGTGAGGAACAAAACATCGTCAGTCTACTAGTTCTAGTCCTATCTCAACATTAGTTTTTTATGTAATTAAAGCTAGGGAAAAACAACCGCACAACTTTCTGTGATTTAAATAACCCGTCAACCGACGTTTCTTTGTCAGAAAATCAATTTTTAAACCATACAAACTTTCACGAAACACTTAAGTAATTACATCACGGGATATAAATTACTACTTGTTTATTTAATAAGTGGAACATTGAAAATAAATGTGTAAGAGTTATATTAATCATCTATCGTTGATGCAAATGAAGGTCACTCTTTTTTACTTAACTGGATTTTCTGTTCTTTTATTTTGTAAGCGTTGAACTTCGTGAACTTGAAAATAAACTACGAAGTGCTTATATAGCTAAAGAACAACTTGCACAAATGGCTGAAAAACGTGCTCTTGCTTATGACTTGATGGTTAGTAAGATATTTTTTTATTATGTTTCTCTTGGCGCGATACACTATAATTCGTTACCGTACATTAATCTACTGTCATTTTAACTAATCAAAGTTGATTAACTGAAGTGTATCAAAATCCCTAGGGTTTCATGATTAATGGATACACGTTTACTACTACCTATACTATTGTAAGATTTAATTTGACAATTTAATCTCTGTGCTAATGTGGTTCGGCAACTTGAATTGATGTACGCACGTGAGAAATTCTACGTTGTAATTAGCTGACAGACTGATGAAAAGAGTAAAAAACTATACACGTTAGGTTAGAGTTGGAACTTATGATTTGAAAAAGATCATTTTCAGTATAGAGAAGACAATACACTCAGGCGTAAAATGGAAATATTTGAAATTCTTAAACTACCACAAATATTTATTTTTCATTTAATGGATGATTTCCCTTTGTTACCAAAACATGGCACAAATCCATGAAGTCACTGACAAATGGACTGAGTCATGTTGGAAGATGTAGGCTACATGGTTGGGGTCCTTGAGACGAAAGTCACCGATGGTTAGAGACCTTGAACGACATGACTCAAAATCGTTTGCAATGGCACAGGTGCATCCATTCTTTGTATGCTTTTTAATTCTAACCTTCTGAATTCCTCATAATCTCTATCTTTCTCCTTCTAAATTTATCTCACTGAATTATACTTCTCGAATCATATCTTCGCTCACTAATCTTCTCCATTACTGATAATACTTCTACTATCACTATCACTCCTTGATTTGAACTGACAGATGCGTCTGCGTGCTGATGTGGAGTGGTAACCTGAACTGATGTACTTACGTACGAAGTTCTGCGTTGTATCTGTCTGTGTCTCTGTTACTGCATACGATTCCTTAACAGTCAACCACTTCTGACCATTCATATTCAAATGCTTTTCAACCAAACTCATTAAATAAGTATTATTTACTTCATTAAACATCACTCTAAAAGTGAAGTTTGTTTTTCCCCACTGTTTAATTTTCTCATCAAAGTAGTTCACTTTAACTCACTTCACTGCCTAATGAGCGAAGGAGAATTATTGGTGAGTATTCACTTTTATGTACTTTAAGTTTGGTTATCGTTGTGAAACGTTATCCAGTGTTTATTTTGATTATTAAAATGTAATTCACTTATTATTTCGTGTTATATGTTGATTAAATTAAAAAAAATATTTTGAAATCAACAAATTTATGGTTACATATTTCTCATGTTTAATATCAACGTCTAGTAGACACTAGAAATACACATTTTTACGATTTTTGGATAAGACTACTTGATACAGTGTGATGATATGTTTTTCTGATTTTAGTTTTAGTCAGACTCTGTTGTAATTTTCTGCTTGATCATGATAGATATTTTCAAATTCCGCGAAATCGATATATATATTTTTTTTCATAACAGACTGAAGAAGCTTTACAAGCTCATCAGTTGACTTCACAACTTGGCGATGATTTGATTAGAGCGGAAGAAGCAGAAAATCGTCGAAAACAATCACAAATCCAACTACGAAATGAATTGGATGCGCAAATACTGGAACAAGCAGAGTTACGGAAAAAGGCTTATGAGGAATTTTTACATGATAAGCAAATGGTTGATGAAGCTGCCAGGCGAATAAAACAAGAAGATGAATAGTATGTCACTCATTGTTAATTAACTGCTTTGAATTATAACTTACTTACACCTGTTAGCCCTAATGGAGCATAGGCTGCAGACAAACATACTCTAACCAACCCTGTCCTGAGCCTGCCTTTCCATTTCTTCTCAATTGCTATTTATTGTTTTTATTTCTGCTTCCGATTCTCAGTGAGGCATGTTCCTTGGTCTACCTATTTTCCTTAGGATATTGGATGAATATCCTAACAGTAAACTATCAGTTAGACAATAAATCAATCAAGATATGATTTGACTACTGTACATTTTAGTCTATTTTTTTCTCTCTCTCTCTAACTTCATCAATTAATTAAACTAGTGAACAGCAAAAACTTCAAAAAAGCAAAGCATTAATTCGTCAAGAAATTGATCAGCATCAAAAAGAACGTGAAGAATATTTGAAAGTTGAGAAAGAAAATCTTCAAAAAGAATTAGAAGCAATCAATGCGTATACAGCTAGAAAAAACAATGAACAACAATCGATTAAAGCTGCAGTGAAAGCAAGACAAGAACATATTGAAAAATTACAAGTAATTTTGTTGTGCTATTGTTGAAAATGATGAGTATGTTTTCATTTGATTAGTTTTTGGCAATTGAAAGTAAAAGCAATATTTCGATTGTTAATAATTGATCATTTTGATTAACATGTTATGGAAGTATCTTCAAAGCATTGCTCGTATATCTTGGGACAACTGAGTGAGCAATGCTGTTGTTAGGAAACGGGTGTTAGGTAAGAATGACAGATCAATAGATGAAGTAGTGAAACTTCATCAGTTGAAGTGGTTGGGACATATGTTGTGTATGCCTAACCACCGACTGCCTCGACGAGCTTTGTTTTGCAGTGTAGGAATAGGTTGGAAGAAAGCTAGGGGCAGCCAGACCAAAACATGGCACAAATCCATGAGTCATGTCGGTAGTTGTCGACTACCTGGTTAGGGTCCGCCAGATGATAATAATCGATGGTTAGAGACCTTGAACGACATGGCTCAAAATCGTTTGCAATGGCGCAGGTGCATTCATTCTTTGTGTTCTCTCAAATCCTAAACTTTTCAATTCTTCATCAATTTATCCTTATCTTTTTAAGTCCATTTCACTAGATTCTACTTTTTGACTAATATCTTTTAATCTTACCCTCTCCGACTACTGCTAATACCTTTACTACCTCTATTACAATTGGATTTGAATTGATAATTACATCTCTGTGCTAGTGTGGTATGACAACATGAACTGATGTACGTTGTACGTACAGAGTTCTACGTTGCTATTGATTGATTGATTGATTATGGAAGTATCAGATCGCTCATTTTAATTAGAATATCAAATCTGGTCAGTCGAAATGCAAGATTATCTGCTCAGATGATAATCCTGTATTACAAGGATATGTGAATAACATTGCAAACCTCAATTTGTGAGATATCTATTGTTAATACCCTGGAATGAAGAAAGGCTGTTTCATGAACGGCACATACAAGATTTATTAACAACCATATACGATATACCATACAACAGAATAATAATAATAGCTGTATCAAAACTACAAGGACGCAAAATTATAGAAATTGAAAACTGTTAAAATAAGACCAACCATTCAACAAGTAAAATATGAGTGAAAATTTTAACTTTCCAAGTGGATTTTTCACTCCAATCGGGATTAAAGTTTAATTTATCGTAACTCCGAAAAATGAACATTTTCAGTGAATATTAGCATGTTTTAGATAGGAAATTTTTCTAAGCTCATAAACTACCATACATTCTGGTCACAAAAGTATGATGAGAATAAAAAAATTAGTCATTATTTGCTGATTAAGTTATTTGTGAAATAATGGAAAACGAATAATCAGAAAAATTGAAATCATTGACTAGTACATATTTTTTGAAACCATGAATCAATCTATGTTGTTAGACCACCATTAGAAACCTGGAAGCACTGAAAGACGGCCGTTTCGTCCTGGTATGCGACTGACCAGCAGTGCGCATCCACGACTCCTGCACCCCTCAGGATTCGAACCCAGGACCTTCGGTGTTGTGCGTGAACGCCTAGCCTCTGGACCACTGAGCCGGTATCTAACGGTGTTAATGTCTAACTTGATCAATTCACTGACCGATTCATAGTTTCAGCAATGTGTAACTTAACAATCTTCACAACCCCGTAACGCAAGTTAACTAATAGTTTTGATATCGTTGTAATCAGCTGATGAGTAAATCATGAATTATAATAATAAATTCATATCACTCTGCCTCAATTATTGTTCTGACTTTAGTTAAATTTGATACAGTTGATAAGTTGTGAATGTGAAAAATGTATTAAACAGCCAGTAAGTTACTTACAAAAAAAGATCGGTTTTCATATGAATACATATCGGTTTGAACTTCTAAACAACTTTGTATCAATTACAACAAGACAGAGACGTGAGAAAGGACAATGATCGGTAACCAATCTATTATTTCACAGCTGCCCTTCAAGTTTACATTCAATAACGTGTCTAAAATAATCAGCGATTCATTTTTACATATATACTCTGTTACTGTTACCAGATTAGGTTGTAGCTAGAAACCTGTAAATTACACCTGAACTGTGGTTAAGATAACTGAATTGTCATGTCAGTATTCCATTTAACTTGTATACAATAATTAAACTGTTAAAGAAAACTAACTTTTATAAGTCAGCTAACAAACAAACATCCTATTTCGATGAGAGTGATGAGTTTATATTCGTCAAGAGGCTCTAAAGAGAAGTGAAAGCTATGATAATTAGTTTAAGAAATTTTCCTTGACTTTTTACACATTTGAAATCACCAGTCAATCAATCATTGTTAGACAGAGCACCATTAGAAACCTGGAAGCACTGAAACACGGCCGTTTCGTCCTGGTATGGGACTACTCATCAATGGCAGTGCGCATCCACAACTCCTGCTCCTCGCAGGATTCGAACCCGAGGCCTTCTGTATTGTGCACGAACGCCTAACCATCTTGTAGCATGCACACAATATCAATGAATTCTTGGATTTTTGTTTTCTACCGCGCAATGATACAATCTGTGCTATTTGTCTAAAAAAAATTAGATTATCATTTCAGTAAACTAAAACAACCGGTGTAATTTGTTCTTGTTGTTATTGTTTCTCAATTCATTAACTTTTTAGAATGAATTAGGCAAAAAATTATTAGAAAAAGAACGAGAACGCAATGAACTGGAAGAAATACGTCAAACATTGGTATGGGCAGAAAATGAGAAAAAGATTAGAGAAGAACAAGAAAATCAATGGACTACAAAGTTAACTAATCAACACTTACTCTATGAAGATTATAAAGCACAACTTTTATTGAGAGAAAAACAAAAACAAGTAAACATGAAACTAATTTTTGTGTTTGTGTGTGTATTTAAAAATTGTAATTGCTTGCTTCATTTTGATAGAACAATGATAAGAAGACCGTAATTGATCTGAAAAATGTTGTGATGTATTTGCGCGCTATACATATTTCGAACATTCTGATCACACACATATATACACTTATCAAGGCATTTTTCACATGAAGATTAAGTAAAAGGTCAATTAAATAAAAGTTTAAATAGACATAAAGTGATAATTTTAAATATAATAAAGGTGAGAGGAAAACTCAACGTAATATGAAAAGAATAAGTCAGTCAGTTGCAACGTAGAACTTCGTACGTAAGTACATCAGTTCATGTCGCCATACCACATCAGCACAGATATAATTGTCAATTCAAATCCAATCGTAGAAGAGGTACTAAAGGTATTAGAAGTAATCGTAGACGTTAGAATTAGAAGATATTATTCACGAAGTATGATTCAATGAGATAAGTTTAGAAAGTAAAAGCTAGAGGTGTTGAAGAATCCAGAAGATTAGGATTTGAGATAACACAAAGAATGAATGCACCGGCGCCATTGCGAGCGATTTTGAGCCATGTCATTCAAGGTCTCTAGCCATCGATTATTATCATCTCGCGGACCCCAACCAGGTAGTCGACAATTACCAACATGGCTAAGTCCACTCGTCAATGACTTCATGGATTTATGCCATGTTTTGGTTTGGCCGCCCCTAGCTTTCTTCCAACCTATTCCTACACCACAAAACAAAGCTCGACGAGGCAGTCGGTGGTTAGGCATACGCAACACGTGTCCCAACCACCTCAACTGGTGAAGTTTCATTACCTCATCTATTGATCTGCCATTCTTACCTAGCACCCGTTTCCTAATAACAGCGTTGCTCACTCGGGTGTCCCACGATATACGAGCAATGCTTCGAAGACACCCATGATCGAAAACCAGTAACCTACGAATATTTTCTTTTCTCACTGGCCATGTTTCACAGCCATAAAGTAAGACCGAGCGAACTACTGCGCAGTACACTCGTCCTTTAGTCAGCAAACGGATATCTCGCCTACGCCATAAGTGACGCAGGTTGGCGAAAGCCAATCGAGCCTTCTGTATCCATGCCGAGATTTCGTCAGTCACCAGGCCATCGGCACTGATGAGACTCCCAAGATAAGTGAAGCGGTCTACACGTTCAACCACTTCACTCCCTATCACTAGTTCAGGTGCCAATGCAACCCAGTCTTGAAGCAACATTTTGCATTTCGAGGGGGAAAACCGCATCCCGAACATGCTTGCATTGTTGCTTAGGGTAGTCAGAAGACTCTGCATTTTGTCAGCGTCTTCACCAAGTAGGACAATGTCATCGGCATATTCTAAGTCAATAAGCGAGCTACCTGGAAGAAGGTCTACTCCTGAAAATTCAGACGAGGATAAGGTAATTTCTAGGAGCATTTCTATGATAAAATTAAACAAGAATGGAGAAAGTGGACATCCCTGACGGACACCACTTGAAGTAGAGAATTCCGGTGACAGTTCGCCATAAGCTCTCACTCGACCAGTGGTGTTCTAGTAGAGAGCTTGTATGAGGTTAATGTACTTCTTTGGTACACTTCTCAATGACAGACACTGCCACCGAACCTCACGATCCACTGAGTCAAATGCCGCCTTAAGGTCCAGGAAAGCAACTATTGTGGGACGCCTAAATGTGTGTCTGTGTTCCAGGACCTGTCGTAGTGTGAAAATGTGGTCTATACAACCACGTCCAGGTCGAAAACCAGATTGGTTTTCTCGAGTTTGCTCTTCACGAGCTTTCGTTAAGCGTCGAAGTATTATTGAGGCCAATATTTTAGATACTATATTAGTTAGACTTATTCCTCTGTGATTGTCACAAGAAGACTTCTGTCCTTTCTTATAGATTGGGACAATCAGTGATTGAGACCAGTCGGATGGGATTACGTCCAGTTCCCAGATTCTACCTAAGATCTCAGTCAACCTAGCTGCTAAAACTGAACCACCATCCTTAAATATCTCAGGGGTCAGTCTATCAGGACCCGCAGCTCGTCCTCGCTTCAGATTTCCGAACGCTTTTTCAACTTCATTAAGACTAGGGGGACTTAGATCGATTTGCCATTCAGGATGACTGGAGATCGTGGGTAACCGAAGAGTGGCTCGAGGCCAGTTGAACTGATCCCTAAAGTGTTCTGCCCATCGATCCAGTCTCCTGGATTGAGAATAAATAATAGTCCCGTCATTTTCTGAGATAGTCTCACTTACACTAGGATTCCTAATACCAGTTTCCTTGATAAGTCTGAAAAGTTGTCTACTGTTGCCGATCGCCGCTGCCTTTTCCATCGCTTTTGCTTTCGCCACCCACCACTGCTCGCGATCGTTACGTAGGCTTTTCATAAGTCTGCGCCTAAGTTGACTTCGTTCTTCATCATGCTCAGAGCCAGGTGGGATGAGTTTTCGGGCATCCATCAGATCGGTGGATGCTACTGAGATCCACGGTTTCATTCTAGCCTTATGGTCAACCTTACTAGCAGATATCACTGCTGTTTCCACAGCCTTTTTGATATCATTCCATCCTGCTTCCGGATGGGAATCGCTTAAATGGTCGCCTAACTGTCTTTCTAGTTGTTCCTGAAATATATTTTTCGCCTTATTATCATTAAGTAAAACCCTAAGAGGCTTTCTTACGGTGTCTTTCCTGCGTCGAGTAAGCTTCAAACAAATACGCGCTCGCACTAGGGCATGATCTGAATCTAGACATGTGCTCCAGAACGAGCGACAGTCCTCTATCGAACCCCTCCATCGGTGGCTGATGGCGATGTGATCTAGTTGAGTCCAACGTTGAGACGACTTTGGAGGTCGCCAGGTCAACAGATGCTTTTCCTTATGTCTAAAGTTAGTGTTTGCTAAGAAAAGGCGGTTGTCTGAGCATGTTTGCAACAGACGGTCACCATTGTCTGTTCTCTGAGCCGCGACACCATAACATCCACCTAGGTGTTTCTCCTGCTCACTTAGTCTACCTACTTGAGCATTAAAGTCACCAGCCATTATTACTATATCAGAGCGCCTAGCTTTTTGGAGGAGGTCCGAAAGCTTTCTGTAAAACTCATCCTTAACCTCGTCTGAACTGCATTCAGTGGGGGCATAGGCAGATACGATGAAGAGGCAACGGCGATTGTCCCTATCTTTCCGAGTCCTTACTGTCCCGTTTAGTCGGACAGCGCACAATCGACTATCTATTGGGATCCAGTCAAGGAGAGATTGTTCTGCCCTACGACTCAATGCTATGCCTACGCCAGCAAGACCCCTGGAAGCAGCATCAGGGCTACCGGATACACGAAGAGTAAATCGAGCTGCTTCTTTATTTTGACATGGTGTGGCCAAGTGTATGACGTGACTCGGATCCTGTATGCGCGTTTCCGAGACGCAGCATACATCGATGGCACGAGATTCTAAAGTCCGAGCTAAGGAAGCCTGTTGCCCTATTCGACACAATGTCCGTACATTAAATGCTCCAACATGTAGTCTAGAGCGAGGTTTAAGGAGACCAGGAACGACGTTTCGCGAACTCGTATCGTCTGCATTAGCTGTGCACTGTGATGAATGAATGTGAGAAGAGTTAGTCGTGGAGATAAGAGAGACATTAGGGGGTGTAGGAAGGATTTGATTTTGACCAATTTGGTCTCGCGTGCTGTTATGGGAATAAGAATAAGGTAGGAAAATTGTCACATTACTGTAGGCTTAAAAATACTTACTTACTTACTTACTTACTTTCGCCTGTTACCCCCCAATGGAGCATATGCCGCCCACCAGTTTTCTCCAACCAACTCTGTCCTGGGATTCCCTCTCCAGTTCTGTCCAATGTTTGTTCATTCCTCTCATATCTTTCTGTATTGCTCGGTGTAATGTGTTCCTTGGCCTTCCTCTTTTCCTTTCACCTTGAGGGTTCCAAGTGAGGGTTTGTCTTGTGATGCACTTAGGTGCTTTTCGTAATGTGTGTCCTATCCACTTCCACCGCTGCTTCCTGATCTCCTCCACTGGAATCTGGTTTGTTCTCTCCCACAGTACGTTGTTGCTGATGGTGTCTGGCCAACGAATCCGAAGTATTTTGCTTAGACAACTGTTCATAAATACTTGTATCTTCTGAATGATGGCTTTCGTAGTTCTCTAAGTTTCCACTCCTTACAGTAGAACTGTCTTGATATTTGTATTGAAAATCCTGATTTTGGTGTTGATTGACATTCATTTGGAGTTCCAGATATTTTTCAATTGTAGAAATGCAGCCCTCGCTTTGCCAATCCGCGACCTCACATCTGCATCGGATTCACCTTCCTCGTCGATGATACTGCCCAGTATATGTAAAGGTGTTAACGTCGTCCTCCAAGGTATCTCCATCAAGAATGATTTGGTTGGTGCATGTTGTGTTGCATCATATGCATGACATGCTCTCAAAGAAAAGTAACTAACTACATACATGCTTCAGTGGTTTATATTATTTCAACACAGTCAATCAAGTATTCATTCTGTTTTTAGATACCGAATTTTTTTTTCTATTACTACTAGCTAAATATACTCATTTAAACAATCCAAATATTACCTTAGTTGTCAATCGTTACAAAGTCATACAATTTTTTTTTAAAAAAAATATCTACTTTCTTTCAAATTATAATCAACAGATTGAAAAAGAAGAAGCTTTAAAAATACGTAATGATATGTTAGCTAAATTTGAAGAAGACAAACGTCTAGAACAAGCCGAATTAGAAAAACGTCATCTTAGACAAATGGAATTTGCTAATGAAGCACAGAAATTGTTAATGGAAAAACGTCAACGTATTCAGCAAGAATATGAACAAGCAAGAAACGATTTGCTTGCAGAAAAACAACGTATTTTAGAAGAGAAACGTATTATTGAAGAAGAAAGACAACAGTTATTAAGACAACATGCTAATAATTTATGGAATCATTTGCCTAAAGTAAGTGAGAACATTTTCACCTCAATATTTATCATTGATACATACATACATATATTAGGTAGGAAAAATTAGATCATTTTAATAGGAAACAATCTTATGAATAGAAGGATAATGATTATGTTGTTGAACTTTTTTTTGGTGAAAAATTTGACGTAAATATGTATATTCTTCAATTAGAATTATAGAGATTAGTGTTTTTACACACGTTTGAAATCATCAATCAATCATTGTTTGACCATCATTGGAAACCTGGAAGCACTGAAACACGGCCGTTTCGTCCTGGTATGGGACTCATCAGTGGCAGTGCGCACCCACGACTCCTGCACATAGCAGGACTCGAACCCGGTACTTTCGGTATTGTGCGCGAACATCTAACCATCGGACCACAGCCGGTATCCAACGATGTTAATGTTTAACTCTGATTGATCTAGAGATTTTGAGCGACCTCACCTATTTGTCTTTGATAGTTACTGCCTACATCTGACAAGGTTGAACTCCACTGGTCAAGTCTTCTCACTAGAACTCGGAGAATTTCCTCACCAAGCTAGTTACCAGTGATCCAGAGGTTAGGCGTTCTTGCACAAGACCGAGAGCCCCGGGCTCGAGTCCTGTGAGGTGCAGGAGTTGTGGATGCGCACTGCCACTGAGGAGTCCCATACCAGGATGAAACGGCCTTCCAGTGCCTCCAGGTTTCCCATGGTGGTCTCACAATGATTGATTGACGATTTCAGTGTAAATATATTCTGTCTCGTTCATAACTCTCATATTATTTATCACAGATAACAGGAGGCGGACACATTGTTTTGTATGATTCACATTTGACTTTGACGAATTTAATCAGTTTATTTCGAAGTATAAACTAGATTTGTACAGAAATAGAAAACTCTATTACTTATATTTAACGTGGCTTACTGAACTGAATGCATGACTTATCGGTACTCTTGTATAGTACACCACAATGAATGTTGTGACAGAGAATTCATTCAACTACTACTTATTGCTAAACAAGATTACTAATTCTATAATGGTGGTGTTTGGTGGTTCTCTGAGCTGGGTGTTTTGGTTGTGAAGCTTTCATTGTTCTTCTGCTAAACAACAACATCAGCACCTCAATCAAGATCGAAGTTAGCAGAACAAGCAAGCTACAGGTCAAAAAACATGGAGAAATTCGAATGCTTCACTTCTTCTATCTGAAGAGGTTTGTGCTTCTGATGATGTTGTTGTTCAGTAGAAGAACAACGAGAGCTTCACAACCAAAACATCCTCAGCTCAGAGAACCAAACGCCACCACCACAAATCTTCTCCACCATCTTACTAAAATCCTACTTAAATTATCGCGCTATTCATTGACATCAATAAACATACTTTAATCGCTCTTATATTCTATATTTTAAAATTCATAAACAGGGTATTTTCCAGTCAAAAGAAGAATATGAATCAATTAAACAATCAACTCAAGAAAACTAAACAGAATTAAAATAATCCCTTGCTTTTTTTGTTTGTTTCAAACTAACCAATCCTGTTACAAAAAAATGTATCTTGAAAAAACAATCATGTGATTTATCATTATTATTATTTTTATTATTATTATTAGAACTAGGTACTAATCCCTATTTTTTAATGATAATGTATAAAAAAAACATTTGTCAAATTCAATAATAATAAACTATTATTTATAACCGTACACTTTTATATAATACTAGTAGTATTTTAATTTTATCACGATAACTATTCGTATCATTGTATACTTTATGAGTAAATCTTATTTTACTAATAAGGATATAAATTATATACATGGTAAATGTCAGTCAGTCAGTCACATGAAACGTAGAACTTCGTACGTAAGTACATCAGTTCATGTTGCCATACCACATCAGCACACAGATGTAATTGTCAATTCAAATCCAATAGTAGAAGAGGTAGTAAAGGTATTAGAAGTAATCGGAGAGGTCAGGATAAGATATTATTCAAGAAGTATGATTCAATGAGAAAAGTTTCGAAAGTCAAAACTAGAGGTGTTGAAGAATCCAGAAGATTAGGATTTGAGAGAACACAGAGAATAAATGCACCGGCGCCACTGCGAACGGTTTCGAACCATGTCATTCAGGGTCTCTAACAATCGATTATTATCATCTCGCGGACCCCAACCAGGTAGTCGACAACTACCGACACGACTCAGTCCACTTGTCAGTGACTTCATTCATTTCTGCCATGTTTTGGTTTCGCCACCCCTGGCTTTCTTCCAGCCTATTCCTACACTACAAAACAAAGCTTGTCGAGGCAGTCGGTGGTTAGGCATACGCAACACATGTCCCAACCACCTCAACTGACGAACTTTCAATACTTCATCTATTGATCTACATGGTAAATGAGATAACGAGAGTCAATACTAATTAGTTTTTCTATCTAATCTAATATACTGTTCATCTGTACAGTTTATTAAAAAGTTCACATTTCACTGCTAATATATGAATATATATATGTATGTTTGAAATAGTAGGAGACAGTTAGAGGTTCTTAGGGGAATTGGATTAAGTATATCCCGTAAGTAAGCTCACATGTGAAGAAGAATGTGAAGGTAGAGGCTTTCTAAGTGTCCTGTTGACAGGGACAGTTGATAGACCAACAAAGAATTGAAACAGCTAATTGTAATATTTATCCAATATCCTAAGAGAATTACTGCTCAATTCATATTGGTTAATTCCTACTAGTCAATTTTATGGTTGTCCTAGATATCAATGTCACGTCCTCCAATGTTATTTCTTACTGGTTGTCCTGACTATCAATGTCACTTCCTATTGGTCGTCTTAACTGTCAATGTCACAGAATTCGATGCTGTTTCCTATTCGACCTAAATGTATGAATACGCATTATCTGTAACATTTTATGACCAGGATCCATAGTCCGGGATCCTGATTCTCTTCTGAATTCGGGCCACGTACTTTCTGGATGCTTGTAGAATACAGGTTCTATTTCATATCAAGTCTTCTTATTTTACTCAATATAGGGGTTGAGATAATCGGATTTGAGTAGCATGTCGTGTCGCCGGATCCTCGCTCTCGTATTCCGACTAAGGTATACTCGTAATAGTTGAAGTATATCAAGTTGACGTGTTTACGTGCAGGTGTAACAGTAATATACTTGAACAAGGTAGTATACACATACTCTTTACGCATAATAGCCCATAGAACATCCGATGTATGAAGAATATAACTAGTGTTTTTCATGCATATAAGGGTGTTACTGAGGTTGAGAGATGGAGTACCTTTACTAACCACCTGTTTGTCTTCTGTTAAACCATGACACAGGCAATAGCTATTCATATAAAAACACCGGAGCTATGTGTACATCGAAAATACATACATACAACCACTTCTCTAACCTGGGCCAATAAACTATCAATCATAAGTATTGTACGATTAACTAGTTTGACTAATGTATTTAGGGCCTTCCCCGTCGTATTTACACAACTTAAATATCCCTCACGGGAATATTATTATTAATAATAACATCCACTTATCCTTCAAAAACGTAAACTATTTGACAAGCAACCCTCCCACCTAACAATTTCTAAGCGAGTTTATGTCACAATTTCTATTATCTCAAGTTGGGTGGTTTCGCTATTGCGTACAGAATTAAATAGACACGTAAAACGCACCTTGTTATACAAAGGGAACATCAGTTATGTTATTATGTTAGCATGCATTTATTTTTAAATATTAATGACTGATACACGATTTTAACATTAATAATACATTTTACATACATATATGTGAACATGAAAGTAGATTTTAAATAGAATATCACGATGTACATATACATATAAGACATACAACAGAGAATCACTAACTGGAAGATGAATACTGGAAGAAAGACTAATTAATTAACACAAGTGGTCATATATAGTATAACAAAATATCGGGTTAGATTTGGTGGTTTTGGGCCGACATATAGTAATAGTTGTAGTTCGTTTAAAAAATAGTCTTTAAGGTCAGGTAAACCAAAATACTTCATTGATATTTGAAAACTAAATTTAAATAAAGGTATTTGCATGAATTCACACAACCAAAGCCAAAGTAAAAATTTCAAAAACTATACTAGAGAGTCGATTAATGAAGCAGATTTGGATAGAAGCAAAGAAACTGACAGTAACACTTAGATATATTTTGTCTGCACAGGTACTCTTTATAAGACTACATCTCGATTATCTTGATTATTTAAACACAGGGAAAAAAATTCTAACATAGACTAGGTAAAGTAGTACATGATTAAAAATCATTGAAGTTACACAGTTATAAGATTGTCTTAATCATCCTCTTCATTAGTTGAATTTGAAGTATCTGTGAAATAATCATCGCAAGTACAACTACTTTGCGACGTTCCACTGTCTTCGCTATGACAGTCGATTTCTGTATCAGGGGATAATATACACGACGAGGCTTTCTGTGTAACAGTCCAATTAAGATGTTTTTCTGCATCCCGCATCAATGTTGGAAGTTGGTGTCTACAGGAAGATGAACTAGATTCAGTCTGTTTAGAATTAACACTGGTCGGATGCATATACTGTTCAATTATTTCCATTACATTACGTACGTGCCGTGAACGCCGACGAACAGCCACACGTTTTATACGTCGTAAAGATTTCGGAGGTGGGTCATCTGGTCTGCATAGATAATGCTGGATGCAGTCAAATGGGATATTCTGTGTATGTAAAACAATGCGTAAGCTTTAAAAAGTTATATTGATTTACAATAACTGACAACACTATGAAAACGGTAGTGTGCCTGACTTTAAAAACACTGTTACAACAAAACTAATACTATAGTAGTAGTACTATAGTGTACTATAGTGTAGTACGGAGGCAAACGCTGTCATTAACTAACTGGGAACCATCACTTCCCATGACTATTTCAAGTTATATTTAATGTATTTGCTCATTCACTATACTCTAATCCAAAATTATTGCTATCCGCTTTCTGAAAGAAGATATTCTATCTGACCTCAAGTAGTGCACTTATGAGTCAAGTATGGTGAGATACCGAAACTGAATATTCTGAACGTTTGAAAGTAAATGTTAGGAATGTGTTAAATCAGAACTATGTGAATGCTGAGTCTAATTAACAGTGAGCCGGTTACCGACATTGATCGCTTTAATTCATAAGTCTCGCTGACTGTGAGGATTTGGTGATCAAGTAAATCACTAGATTGATACTGTGGATGAAAAACATTAGGGAAATGAGGTTAAAAATTAACCACTCAGTAGGAACGATATTTCGAAGACTCATACCAAAAACCATTATGCAGTGTAATAGTGGATAGAATGACAGGTGTATGTTACCGTAAATTTACAAGCGAGAGTAAGTTTTTTCCAACAGGTGAATAGAGCAGCCAGCTACAACGTAGAACGTACGTACATTAGTCGAGGTTGCCATACCACATTCGCACACAGAGATCCTGGGACAACGGAGTAAGCAGTGCTGTTATTAGGAAACGACTACTAGGTAAGGGTGAAAGATAAATAGATGAAGTGCTGAATCGTCATCAGTTGAGGTGGTTGGGACATGTGCTGCGTATGCCAAACAACCGACTGCCTCGACGAGCTTTGTTTCGTGATGTAGGAGTAGATTGGAAGAAAGTTAGGGGCGGCCAGATCAAAACATAGTACAAATCCATGAAGTCAATGACAGGTGGACTGAGTCATGTCGGTAGTTGTCGACTACCTGATTGGGGTCCGCGAGATGATAATAATCGATGGTTAGAAACCCTGAATGACATGGCTCAAAACCGTTTGCAATGACGCAGGTGGATTTATTCTCAGTGTTCTCTCAAATTATAACCTGGATTCTTCAACAACTCTAGTTTTGTCTTCCTAAACTTATCTCGCTGAATTATACTTCTTCAATGTGTTGGAACCCTAATCTTCTCCTTTACCAGTAGTACCACTAGCTCTACCACTATGAGATTTGACTTGACATTTGCGTCTCTGTGATAATATGGTATGGCAACATGAACCGATGTACTTACTAAGTTCTACGTTGCAGCTGACTAACTGACTGACACAGAGATCAAATTGTCAATTCAAATCCCATAGTAGTAGAGGTTGTAGAAGTATTAGCAGTAACGGAAAAGATTAGGGATCGAAGATATGATTGCAGAAGTATAATCCAATGAAATAAATTTAAAAAGAGAAAAGAGGTCATGAGGAATATGGAAGAATAGAATTTGAGTGCAGACAAGGAATGGATGCATCTGCGATCGCAAGCGATTTCCAGGAATGCCATTCGAAGTTGCCAAACACCGGTTATGATTGTATGTCGGACCCCAACCAGGTAGTCTGCACCTACCAATATGGTTCAGTCCGGTTGCCAATGTCATCTTTGGTAATCATTTCAATGAATAAGCAATCAGTCAGTCAGTCAGATGCAACGTAGAACTTCGTACGTAAGTACATCAGTTCATGTTGCAATACCACATTAGCACAGAGATGTAATTGTCAATTCAAATCCAATAGCAGTAGAGGTAATAAAGGTATTAGAAATAATCGGAGAGGTTAGGATTAGAAGATATTATTCAAGAAGTATAATTCAGTGAGATAAGTTTAGAAAGTCAAAACTAGAGGTGTTGAAGAATCCAGAAGATTAGGATTTCAGAGAACACAAAGAATAAATGCACTGGCGCCATTGCAAACGGTTTTGAGCCATGTATTCAGAGTCTCTCACCATCGATTATTATCATCTGGCGGACCCTAACCAGGTAGTCGACAACTACCGACATGACTCAGTCCACTTGTCAATGACTTCATGGGTTTCTGCCATGTTTTGGTCTGGCCACCCCTAGCTTTCTTCCAACCTACTCCTACACTACAATACAAAGCTCAACGAGGCAGTCGGTGGTTAGGCATACGCAGCACATGTCCCAACCACCTCAACTGGTGAAGTTTCAATACTTCATCGATTGATCTGCCATTCTTACCTAGCACCCATTTCCTAATAACAGCGTTGCTCACTCGGGTGTCCCACGATATACGAGCAATGCTTCGAAGACACCCATGATCGAAAACCAGTAACCTACGAATATTTTCTTTTCTCACTGGCCATGTTTCACAGCCATAAAGTAAGACCGAGCGAACTACTGCGCAGTACACTCGTCCTTTAGTCAGCAAACGGATATCTCGCCTACGCCATAAGTGACGCAGGTTGGCAAAAGCCAATCGAGCCTTCTGTATCCGAGCTCAGATTTCTTCAGTCACCAGGCCATCGGCACTGATGAGACTCCCAAGATAAGTGAAGTTCGACTACTTCACTCCCTATCACTAGTTGAGGTGCCGATGCAGTCCAATCTTGAAGCAACATTTTGCATTTCCAGGGGGAAAATCGCATCCCGAACATGCTTGCATTGTTGCTTAGGGTGGTCAGAAGACTCTGCATTTTGACAGCATCTTCACCAAGTAGGACTATGTCATCGGCATATTCTAAGTCAATAAGCGAGCCACCTGGTAAAAGGTCTACTCATGAAAATTCAGACGAGGATAAGGTAATTTCTAGGAGCATTTCTATGATAAAATTAAACAAGAATGGAGAAGGTGGACATCCCTGACGGACACCACTTGAAGTAGAGAATTTCGGTGACAGTTCGCCATAAGCTCCCACTCGACCAGTGGTGTTTGAGTAGAGAGCTTGTATAAGGTTAGTGTACTTCTTTGGTACACTTCTCAATGACAGACACTGCCACCGAACCTCACGATCCACTGAGTCAAATGCCGCCTTGAGGTCCAGGAAAGCAACTATTGTGGGACGCCTAAATGTGTGTCTGTTTTCCAGGACCTGTCTGAGTGTGAAGATGTGGTCTATACAACCACGTCCAGGTCGAAAACCAGATTGGTTTTCTCGAGTCTGCTCTTCATGAGCTTTCGTTAAGCGTTGAAGTATTATTGAGGCCAATATTTTGGATACTATATTAGTTAGACTGATTCCCCTGTGGTTGTCATAAGAAGACCTTTGTCCTTTCTTATAGATTAGGACAATCAAGGATTGAGACCACTCGGATGGGATTACGTCCAGTTCCCAGATTCTACCTAGGATCTCGGTCAGTCTAACTGTTAAAACTGGACCACCATCCTTAAACATCTCAGGGGTCAGTCTATCAGGACCTGCACTTCATTAATTGAGGTGGTTGGAACATGTGCTGCGTATGCCAAACAACCGACTGCCTCGATGAGCTTTGTTTCGTGGTGTAGGAGTAGGTTAGAAGAAAGTTAGGGGCGGCCAGATCAAAACATAGTACAAATCCATGAAGTCAATGACAAGTGGACTGAGTCATGTTGGTAGATGTAGGCTATCTGGTTGGGGTCCGCGAGATGTTAGTAATCGATGGTTAGAGACCTTAAACGACATGGCTCAAAATCGTTTGTAATGGCGCAAGTGCATCCATTCGTTGTGCTCTCTCAAATCTTAATCTTATGGATTCGTCAGCACCTCTACCTTTGTCTTTCTTATCTTATCTCACTGAATCATACTTCTCGAATAATATCGTCAAACCCTAGTCTTCCTCATTACCAATAATACCTCTACTATCTTTATTACTATGGGAATTGATTTGATATATGCGTCTCTGTACTAATGTGTTATGGCAACCTGAACTTATGTACATACGTACGAAGTTCTACGTTGCAACTGACTGATTGACTTACTCCCTATCACTAGTTCAGGTGCCGATGCAAGCCAAACCTAAAGCAAAATTTTGCGTTTCGAGGCGAAGATTCACATCTGAACATGCTTGTATGGTTGCTTAAGGTTGTCAGAAAACTGAATTTTTCCAGCTTCTTTATCGAACAGAAAATCAATGAAAAGGACATGACATACAAGCAAGTGAGTCAACAAAAAACAGATCGGATGTGATAAAATTTCCTAGATATAGAACAAAAAGAGGTAATATACACGTAGCTGATGCTGAGTTATGCTATTCATTTTCGTCAATTTTCTCGATCAACTTGAGTACATTATTCCGAAAATCTTTCTATAACTAAGACAATATAACTAACTTTGCATATGACGCTTCACTATATAAATGAAATCTAGTTATCACCCTGCTTTCAAGTATATGATTTGATATATTAATTACATGACTCAGTTACCTCTGTTAGTTCAGGTTTACAACTAAACCAACTGCTTTAATCTTTCAGATCGTATCGAGTAATGTTCGAAAGCCACCTACAGCTGGAGTTCGTAGTTTATTTTACATCTTTAACAGACAATCAACCATATGGCTGCACAAAGCGAAACGACGAGCAGCATATTTACTAACTGATGCAGGGAACTTGGATAATGTAGGGTTCTTTAAACCTTGGATGCAAACTACTTCCATTACAGGGTTTCAATAAGCTAATTAAAACATCGACTATATGGTCTCACTCACATTCTTGGAAATAATACAAAAAGAGCAACGACAGGAACATATCTGTAGCTAATACATGCTCCCGGATCTTAACTTCCAAGTGAATGTACTTTATTCTTGGAAATAGACTCAGAGAGAAGCACTTTGTTTTGATTATCTAACAGATATAATTTACTGGACTCAAACAGTAAACTGAGACGATAATGAAATAACGGTACATGTGAGATGTTTTACCATGTGACTCTAAGTTGCAACCTTTTGCAATGAAATTGGAGTATTTAAGTAGTCTTGAATGTACTCATTCTCTAAAGACGATTAACTTGAAAGATGTTTTTGAAAAACCATGCAACTGTCTAAACTTTAATATCTGGAAGGCTGCTTTTATCAGTGAAATACAAAACGCTAGGATTCATTACGGAAACTGAGTGGAGCTTGACGCTATTAACTTATGAGAGAATACATTATCATTGTACAAGAAAGTGGATCTTCATTACGTCACAAAAATTTAGTCAGTGCCTTTAATTTTTTATTAGATTTACAAAGAACTTTTGATCTGAACTAGCGTATAAAAATTTCGTTTCGAAACCAGAGTGAATTTCATTCCCACCTATCACAAGACTGACGTCAAGAGTTGTAGGCCAACCTATATTCGACAGTTTCCTCATAGAGGGAAAAATGATTGTTCGTGTTTATTGCCGCATTCCTTATTGAAAGGGTTCAGTCAGCATTTACGATGCCTTTCCAAACTTAGCAAAAGGGTTGTGATAAAACCTGGATTTTAAAAGATTAAAAACAAACTTTGTTTCCATTCTGCAGTGGCATATCCCGAATTTTTTCAAAGAAATCAGAGGAAAAAGAAGCAGCTCCCTCAACAATGCCCAGTTCGTACACTTTCAGTATTGTTAGCTTCACATATTTGTGCATTTCTGCCAGTTTATCAGCAGCGTTCCTAAAATGCTGCCAGGAAAACTGACAATCCCTATCATCTATAAAATATTGACAAAACTTGTATGGTGAGTAAGCAATTACCTCGATACAGCTCCATAACGCAATGAAGGACACCATTATACATTTTTAAAAGCGTATCTGAAAACCCAACTAGTTCAACATGACGACGGCTAGTGACTGAATGTTTTCGTGCGTTCCAGTTAACATTACTCAAAGGGTCAGAATCTAGGATGGTGGACTATTAACTTACAAAAACCTACCATCCATAACGCACACCTTGAAGTCCCGCAAAGAACTGTTATTCAATGTCCAATATCTTTCTCACGAACTACTGTAAACCAGTTGGGTTCTTGCTCTTTCAGTACGATACCAGGTATTTGATGATGTGCAAACAATGATAGTCTAGCCAGTCGATTGCAATAATTCTAGTCAGTTGGCAGTTATTTATCAATTTGTATGTCCTATGCTTTGATTGGGGGTATTAGTCTCAGCAGTAGGGTTTTTGTAAACTAGCAATTATCACAATAACAGGCTATGGATCAGTTAGTTGAGATTTCGAGAATAATAGAAGGACAGCTCCAATCCTGGTAATAATTAATAATTAAGTAAGTCAATAATAAGTTAATTAATTGTTAGTGAAGATTATGTGAAAGGACATAAATGTGAAAAAAAAGAGGAAACTGAGATTATAAGCGAGATGGATTATGTTAGTGATCTAACAAGATGCCAGTAACAACGGCTTGTAAGTTTTGAGACACGCAAATGGCACAGTTGGTTCAAGAATGAGACGGTAGTCCGTATGTGAACGCGTGTTTATCAAGTCTCATTTTGAAGCTATCCACTGAGTGGTATTTAGTCACCTTGGCTGTGAGAATATTCCAAGTCGCAACGACTCTTAACGAGGAAAAGTTCGCACAAACATGGGTACTGACTCACCCGATTAGTTTCTCGTCTATGCACTCGATCCAAAAGATTTATGTCTATTTAAATGAAAGAGGGTACGACGATGTTATAAACCTCAAAAGGTGGTCGTGCGTATATTTTAGGGAGGGTTAAGAACAGCCCTGGCGTTAACGCGCTAAGTTTACTTTGCGTAAATGAAGAGCCATGTTTATTTTCGTTACACACTCAGAGTAGTTTAAAGCTTTGTTCAGGTTCTCTGTGGTTATTAGACCGAGATTTCACTTTGAAGATACATTAGGGTTCGGACTTCCATTGAGGATGTATGTTATTCGCTTCACGTGGAACATAATAATCATGACTTGAAATTCCGTTTGGTTTCGTTTCAACAACTTTTCTACTGCCCATTTTTCAATTGCTAAAAGGTCCTGATGTTTAGACTCTCCAGCTTATATACACTTTATTTATCTTGGTACAAAACATTCAATTCTCAAGAGATTTTCTGAGCTTGCATGAAAGTGGATCATTGAAGCACATTTTCACAATCTTCGCTGATAGGAGTATATGAGGCACTGTATCGACAGCTTTTGTGAAGTCAAGGAAAATTGTTCGAACCGGTAGTTTTCGATCCCAACAGGTTGTCCAGCTGTCCCATGATATGATAAGACTGGATAGGCATGTTTTGGCTCTCCTAAATCCATATCAAGCTTCATGAAGGATGATGTTCTTACCTATGTATTCCCTCATTAGCTCACTCACCAGCCCTTCAATTGCTTTCGATAGTATTGCTACTGGTCTGTAACAGCCTGGGTCCTTCTTTTATCCTCTTGTGAGGATTGGAGAGAGAGTAGCTTGTTTCCACCCAGCTGAGAGTTGGTGTGACTCTAGTGACTGCCTGAACAAGTCGAATATCGATGAAATGAGGGCTGCTACATACTGTTTCAAGACTATAAGCCAAAAGCTAGGCGCAAGGTTTTTAGATCTCTTAGTACGAAGTCAGGAGTAAGTCAAATATTCCCTGGGGACATCAGCTGGTTACATTTTAATTAGTGCTCTGAACGTGCACGTACTTGGTCTACATGGCTGGTGAGTTTGATGCCGAACATCCCAGACACCTCTATGTTGGTAAGATCACAATTTGCACACAATGGTGTGCCGTTTTTATTTTATTCACGAACTTTTGTTTTGCGATTGCCTCTATTTTTTCTGCCTGAACGTGTCTCCAACCACTTCGAATTTTCGTCTGTCGCTAGCATACTGGGCCTAACATAACCCATGATCCTCCCTCTCCCGTAATTTGTCTGTGCCACATAATGCAGAACACTTTTGAATGATGTTTATCACTGTTTGTGTTACGCCTGCACGTAAACATGTCAACTTGATATACTTGAACTATTACGAGTTTACCTGGTCTGAAACGAGAGCGAGGATCGAGGATCCGGTGACACGACATGCTACTCCAACCCGATTATTCCAACCCCCATATTGAGTAAAAAATAAGACATAGTATGAAGTAAAACCTATATTCTACGAGCATCCAGAAAGCACGGGGTCCGAGTCCAGAAGCGAATCAGGATCCTGGAATAGGGATCCGGGACCGGGTCCTAGTTCCGGTCACAGAACGTTACAGATAATGCGTATTTATACATTTTGGTCGAATAGGAAACAGCATCGAAGTCTGTGACATCGACAGTTGGAACGACTAATAGGAAGCAACATTTGAAGTGACATTGATGGTCAGGACAACCAATAAGAAACAACATTGGAGCCCTTGACACTGATATCTAGGACGACCATGAAATTGACCAATGGGAACTGACCAATAGGGTAGGCCAATAATTCTCTTAGGATATTGGATGAATATCTTGACAGTTCGCCAATGATCCTTTCCTCTCAGCCCCTACTATTCTCGTGACCGTGAAGCGTGTAGGAGAGGATCTCGCATGATCGTGTTGTTCACTCAGGTGTATCAAAAGCAATACGCGCTTCCGTCCTTTTTGTGTATTTGGTCTGCTATCCGTTTATGACCATGTTAAACATGTCTGTGCGATGGCCGCTAATTTACATTGGCGTGTGGACATGGACATCCATGACTAGAAGCTGCTCATTTGTTTACGAAAAATCCACGTTGTTGTCGATATTGTTAGTTCAGAATAAATTATCATTATCATTAAAATTTCACAACGTTTAAGGTTTTTCCATCGTTAGTCTATCAAGTGGCTTAGTCGGTCCGGAACTTTTAATGGGTGTGACAAGTTGCCTCTGGAACAAACCTGTGGGAGCTATACTGTTTCCTGAGATTTAGAGATGAAGTGCCGAAATCTCCTGCTAAGATTATTTGATAAAACCCAAGAAGTGGTAGAAAAGGTAGTGCCTAGTTTAACCTTTCTTTCTTTAGTTCCTAGGGCGGAGCGGGTGAATCCCTTCAATCAAGTGTTTAGTGCCATCCGTCTAAAGGAAACACCGCATGGTTTTGTCACGTACGTTATTTGCGTACCGTGTTAGGTTATGGAGCTAATGTAGTTGTTAATATACACAGACACTTCACCTCTTGCTTTGCGAACCGTATGGTATTGGAAGAGTCTTCCTCTTCTTGTTTCACTGACCTATGTCGGCTAATTTCCATAATGGCATCTGATACGTTATAACAGCTTGTTACAGGAGGCAAAGTCGTTTACAGGCAAGATCAAATTTTTATAAATAATAATAATAATTTATTCTCAAATAACAAACATATTACAAGAGACATGCCAATTTACAGGCAAGATCAAAATGTTAAGATTAGCAACATATTTCTTTTAAAACGACATGCAGTTACTGAAACATTTCACAAGATTCATTGTTTTCTTAAAGATGGAATGTACAAGGCGAGTAATTGGCGCAAGTTACGAAGGTTGCGTTACGACAATCATCATATGGGCTGAGAAATGATTCATGGTGCAGACAGGTTTTCATATAACAAGAATTGATGCGGTAAATGTACAAAGGTCTGGTTGATATTCATCAGCTAATGATTTCACATGTTCTTGGGTAGGGTAACCAAGTCTACTGCAAATATCCAGACTAATATATGTGTATTGGAATAAGGTTCTGAAAAAAGGAATAAAGAAAACGGGACGAGGAGCAGAACAGAAAATATTCCTGTTCAAAGCCGAACAACGGCTTCGCACATACGTTTATGGATAAAACAAATGTATGTTTACCCAAACATTTTTGATATCAGAACACTCTACACCTGCGCTTATGTAGGTTAATGAAGACATTTCAGTAGTGAGATAACTAATGAGAAGTTAGTCGAAAGAATCGAGGAAATTCAGAAGAACCAAGTTGTTAGTAATAAAGTTGATTTACAAAATATAATAAAGAGGATCAGTGATATAATTTTTTGGTTTTATTTATTCTTTTTATTTTTAACTCTGAGGCTCAAGAAGTTATGAATGAGCTCTTCTTTTTTTAGTATGGTAGTCCAGACAAGCTTGTAATATGATTTCTCGGTAGGAAGTAAAAACCAGTGCAAGGTTACAGACATGAGTTGTAGACGAGGTTAACTAGGAAAAGTAACATCAATATCACTGATTTGTTACATCCTGCTATATCGTAAGGAGCCGTAAGCAAACAAAATGTCCTGCCACACAGACATGGGTAGATTGAGGTTATCGCCCCACCGTCATGAATGCTGGTCAGATACACCACCCTCCCTCCTTTTGTGATGTTAGGCTCTCTTACGTTTAATGGTTAATTGTAAATAATGGTCTCTAGCCTACTCTCAATTTTTTTTTGTACACCTTATCGGAATTAACATTCTCTACTAGCTCCAACATTACAAGCAATCCAGACAACTTTGCAAGATAATATATCCACATAGCATATCACACTGATTTTAAGTAAACGAATGGTATAATTTGTAAGATGAGTCAGTTAATGGGTAGTTTGGAAATAGGAAGGACAGGGAGCTGGAACGAGGAGAAAGTGAAAAAAAAGAGTTGAAATAATGTTAAAAATTAATGAGTAAAGCGATAAGTTGGTAAGCAGGCAAGGTGTTTGGATGTTAATGAATTGGGGAAATAAAAATTAGTTAAACAGTTAATACTTAAATAAGAAGACACTCACAATAATACACGGTGTTTGAGTTCCTTGTAAGTCTGCTGCAAATATCCAGACTAATATATGAGGCTTGGAATAAGGTTCTGAAAAAAGAGGAATCAAGAAAATGGGACGAGGAGCGGAACAGTTCAGTGTTAAACGTCGCTCAACTGGATTTATAATGACACTTTTCTGTCATATTTCAAAGCCACATTTTCAACAAGTGATTACCAATAGGATAGAAACACAGCGAGTTCTTTGGTGGCATGCATGATTCAGGAGTAAAGTTGTAAAGAAGCGTTGATTGGAAGGCACTTAGTATAAACTA